TGTATCTTGTACGTTACAGACGAATAATACAAATCATTGCAAACCTTAGGTGATTTATTCTTTCTCCATCTTATTGATGCAATTTATCTTGCCATGGAGTATCTTAAATATTGACTTAGAGCTGCCGTGAACAATTTTGGTGAAATATTGTTCCTTGTCTAACATCCTCGACCTAAGCTGATTTTTCTGTGTCTTCGTGTAGTCGTATGCTTGATGTAGCGTTCCTGTAGATGTTTTGCTTAGTGTCGTGTACTGTTGACACTTATTCGGCTTTGATTTCGGGGCTTCCAGTATTGTTTTCAAATCTCTACAGAAATCCAAAAGCTTCTCGCGTAATCGACACAATGCAAAAGAACAGTGTATGTTGTACTCGATGCACTTTTCTATTAAGATCTTTTATGGTATGCCAAAATGGTCATTTGATGCATTATCTGCCCTGAAGCCTGCAGTCTTTGGGCTGATAGAATCAAGTTTTAGGTGTTAGCCTCTTTGTTAAGATTTTCATAAAGAGTTTGGTAATTGTGTACAAGAGGCTGATTGGTTTTTAATTTTCTCAATTTAGTATATGCCTTTTTTGTTGTTACATCGGACTATTACTGCATCTGTTCCAGTCTTTTGGAAATCGTACCAATGTAAGCCATTTAGTAAACAGTTCGCTTACTGATTTTAATAATAATTTTCCACCGATTTATATTGCCTCGATAAACGAGAGGCCTCATCACCAGGCGATCGATGGTTCTTCATTTCCTTTAAAGCTGCTAATTTATATATAAATATGAATATACATAGATTGAACTAATTTATATTTTTAAAAGTGATTTCTTCAAAATTCGCCTGTTTTTACGATTGTATCAGATCTGATACAATCAGATGAGAATATTGATATTCAAAGCTTACCAGCAGTGTTTGAAGAGGGGGTTACTGTCACAGAGTTTTCAGACCAGCAAATAGAACCTATCGAGGAGCCAACTATCGTCGATGTCGATGTGGATGTTGAGCCATTCACTACTCGAATCAAAAATATATTGTGAAAGAAAAAAACCCATCCATTGATGAACTGGCGAAGACTTGTGAGGACATACCAACCTTCCTAATGCTATAATGGATTTGTCAATACCCTACGCTTTTTTCAAGTACTTTTTTGACAATGAGTTGATCGAAAAAATTGTATCAGGGTGCAATACATATGTTATTCAAAGGGATCCGAGTAAACCTACTGGATTGACCACCGTAGATATAAATCAATACCTAGGAATAGGTATCTATATGTTTTTAGTTTACATGCCTCAGTGTCGTAGTTATTGGTCCCATTTCCTAGGCTATCCGCAAATAAAAAACGTAATGAGTGAGAAAACATTCGAATTTATTAGGAAACGTATACATTTCAACGACCATACGAGTTTTTATTAAAATGATGTGGATCGAGATCGTCTTCATAAATTACGGCCCCTTGTCGATCATTTGCTCATCAAAGCATACCATTTGAACAAAATCTTTCAGTAGATAAGCAGATGTGCGGCTCATAAGGAAGGCACTATATAAAACAAACTGCTAAACCCCACAAGTGGGGATACAATCGTTTCGTTTTATGCGGTGTTAGTGGATATTCCTACAATTTCGAAATACACAGTTATACAAAAAACGAAAGAAGGAATAGTCGGGTAAATGAACCAGACTTAGGAGCAAGGATAACAATTATAAGTTGTCGCCTTTACTTTTTTCAATTTACTAAAAAAAATTAATCGTGGGACTTCAATTGAGTAATATGTGTGACTTTGAAAGCGTGGAAATATCGCCAGTGGCCTGGAGAGACAACAACAAGACTTTTGTTTGTTGTCAACATACGCTGAAGAATATCCGAAAGGATACGTTGAAAGGTTTGATAGAAAAAGAAAGCAAAATTTCAGCATCGAATCCCCCAAGTTGGTTCAGCAATATAACCAATATATGGGAGGGGTGGACCATCCATTGGGCGCTCTTCATATAAGGCTTGTAAATTCTTGGCTTCTTGACCGTCGATATTCCAGAGAAATAGAAGGCAGAGAAATGTATGAAACTTGCCGAATTTCGGGCTGAAGTGGCACATTGCTTATGCAACGTTGGAAGTAATCTTTTGCTGAAGAGAGGAAGACCATCAGATCTTGAAAAAAAAATAGCAGAAAAAAAAGGTCAGCAATAATAACATATATTCCTTCAAAAGACGTAAGGTTTGATAGTCACTCACAATGACCACTGTACAAAGACATAAAACAGAGATGCAAGATGCAATACTCCTTTTTCGTATATTCATTGAACATACGAAATTCATTTCATGAATTGTTTTCATAAATTCCATTCAACATATTTAGTTATTATAACATATTATACTTATTAATAATCTAATAATCTATTAAAATTTGTTTTGTAAAAATTTCCGCTATGTATCATACATGATACAAGATTTTTCAAAAAATTAATGTTTTTTTTAAAGCTAGATTTTTTTCTTTAGCCTACAACATATCTATCAAAAAAATATTGTTTATTAGAAAGCATTTAATTGATTCAACTGTTTTCTTACATAATATTTTGGAGTATATTCCTTTGGATTTTTTAAAATTTTTAGTTATGCAACTTATATTCGCACCCTCAGTGCAAGACTGCAGTAACTCAAAATTTTATGAAAATGAATTAATCATGGAATTCGATTGTAAACACGCATATCTATCCCCTGTAAAATTTTAGTAACTTTCAAATGCTTAACAGGCTAAATATTACAACAACAGTTTAACTATTTTGCGTATTTCTACATAAGTTCCGTGCAAAACTGTTGTAATTCTAATGTAACAGAGTTACAACAGTTTTGCACGCAACATTGCAATGGTTTCGCTCAACATTGCTTCGGAACAAGTAAGATATTTCTTATTTTAATATCTATATCTGTGGTGTTTAATTTTAATATTGGCGACATGCAAGTACTTGGATGTGATACGAGAAAAGATCGTGCGCGAGTAGCGGAGAAATCTTGCATTTTTTACTGCAAATTTCATAGATTTCATAAATTCATATTGTCAATTGTCATATTTCATATTCGTTTGTTTATTTACACCTTCTGTCACTGAAGAAAATGGGATTTAGGAAATCCTGTGTTATAAATTGTAAAAATACAACAAAAAATTGTCAATTTAAGTTTTATTCGTTTCCAACTTCGAAGCACAAATTACTACAAAGAGAAAAGTGGATTTATATCATAAAAAAGCATAAGTAACATAACCTAAATTATGCATTATTCTTGCGCCCGATTTTAAAGTCAGTTTGAAATTAATAATAAATAAAAGTTCACTGTTAAGTGTAAATTTTAGTTTCATAACACTCACTTAGAGTTCATTTTAACCCAAAAATCAAGTTTAATGTTTAAATTTTATTTTTTTGAAGTTTACAAAAATGCATCAAGTTCAAGTTTTTCTGAAGATGCATTAAGATATATTCGCTGTCTAAAAGTTTACAGGGAAAGAATTAATTGTTCAAACCAATATGATGATATCATGGGCTTAACCTGCTAATTTATGCATTAGCATTATTTATGGTAATTTATTTTCTTAATTCTTCCACATAATTCTTCCATTTTTTTTTGACATTTGCCACTACTAAAGCTTTTCCATTTGACTCAGTGCTTGGTTGAAAAGTTATTTGGTGATTTACTTTCTCAAATCCAGTTTTTATTATTGCATCCATATTAACAGTAATGCTCTAATTTAATAATATATTTTTTTGTATTTACACTACATATAACACAACGTTTACCTTTTAATAACATACCGACATAACCTCAATCTTACTTTTTCTTCTTATTCTTTTTTGGGGCTACGTCCTTGACAGTTATCCGGTAACCTCGATCTAACATGAAAGCGCAGTAAATTTTGCTGATTTACGACACCAGGTGTCGCTGTTCCGAACTTGCACGGTCCCAATACAGGGTGTCTACGTAATCCATTAACGGCCGAGACAATAAACAAAGATTTACGAGACCAATCTATTCATGTAAGTTTTATGTCCTTTGTGTGACATTATATTTTCCATAAAATGTCCAAACGATGTCGTTTGACCATTTATTTATTAGATTGGATTAAAAACACATAAATTAAGACTAATTATTTACAGCCAAAAAGTATTTTTTTTTCTTATGAAAGGAAAAACCGTTATCTTAAAACTTGTGTATTAACAATACTAACAGGTTAAAAATATCTATTCTCAGAAAACTTGTTCTATAAAAACTAAATCCCAACATGTATTAAATCTTCATGTAACCTTCCGGGGCGATTGTCTTATCATATTGTCCACCCCCGTAATTCCCAAATTTTCCTAAGGTAGTGAATTTCAATCCTTTTGTTAATCTCTGTACTCAAGGAAGCCTGATTTGCATATTTTTATTATAGTCCTTTTGTTTTAAATTTAAATAAAAATACTGACAGTTTTACTAACAGAAAATGTGTAAACTTTTTACAATTTTCTCCGTGCAAAAGTGTTGTAACTTTAAAATTCCTAACTTTTTTAGCATTTATATTATTTTATTTAAATTTCGATTTTTGGTTAATGTAATATAGGCTGAAAAGAATGCAAAATCCTAATGAAATGTTAATTTTTCTTCAAACTTGTCTCTTATTTTACCGATATTAGCACGAAAATAAACAAAGTCGTCTTTATCGCGAAACTTACTTATTCTGACTTACTGCAGTCTTGCACTGAGGGTGTGATATACATACTTAATTTGACATAATATTTAATTCTAAGACGGTATTTATACGAAGTTCGCCGGGTCCGCTAGTATTGTATATTAATGTTAATGTCCTTGTATTATTTACGGATGTTCCCTGTAATGTAAACCTATATTTAAAAACGAGTGTCACATGAAAATAGTTGTTCGAAGGTTGTAATATGAAAAATTTAATTTATCTTTCATTTCTATCCATCGTAATTACAACAATAATATTACACAAAATTCAGTGTACTAAATGGAAACATACCCTTTTCATACAAAAGCAAAGCAACTTTGTCGTTGCCGTAATGAGCTGCGATGTGTAATGGCGTAAATCCGCTTTTCGAGGTGACGTCAGGATTGTGTTCGTTTTGTAGAAGAAGAGTGGCAGCTTTGACATCATCCTTTTTGGCAGCGATGTGTAAAGCGGGAAGACGGACTTTGCCTCGAGTGTCGTTCTCCAATAGGACCGCCACTACTTTGTCGTGGCCTTGTTGCATTGCTACCGCCAGCGGTGTAAATCCGTCCTGTAAAAATAAATAAACAGTTGAGCTAAAAGCCCTACATAATAATATACAGAAAATCAATCGTTATTTCAACGAGATACAATGTGACGGCAAATTTATATAACGCAACGCTTGAATTATTTCAAAAACAGCTATTGGAATAATTATGGAATTTCTGTTGTCCGATACAATATGGATATTTATTTATCAATTTCTACTAAATGTTTATATTTCCTCGATCCTAAAAGAATTATTGAAATTTAACACCTTGGCTGCCACAATGGTATGTAAAAAAATGTACCCTCTGGCCATTATGTTTTTTGTGCACAAATCGATATAAATTATAAATACTTTTAAGTTTTGGTCATATTATTCAGTAAACCGTACGTTTTTTTGCATATTTTGAAGAAACCGGTTTCAAATATTGTTGAGGATGAGGCATTTTTACAACAATGAAGAGATAACGGAAGAAAGATTGCAAAAAATATCACCTCTCATGAATGAACTTCTGAAAAATTTTCAAAAATATTACACTCCAAAAAAGTTTTTTGTGTATCGACGAAATTATAGACCCTTTTAGGAGCGTTTAAATTTCAAGCAATTTATTAAAAATAAGAGACATAAGTTTGGCATCAAACTGTATAAAACTTGGTGTTGAAAAGGGTTATACATACAACTTAACAGTTTATTGTGGACAAGACAAAGTAGAAGGTTAGTCGTGTTCTGAAAAAATAGACACCAATTACTACACCAGCGTTTCTTTAGCTCATTCATTATTAGAAAAAGAAACTCATCTGGTGGGAACACTGAGAACTAATCGAAATTTTAATCCACAAGATATTATACAAAAGCAACTCAAAAAAGGTGAGACGGTAGCTGCTGAAAGTAATACTGGAATAGTAATTCAAAAATGGAAGGATAAAAACATGATGTTTTGACATTGAGCACAAAACATACTTCAGAGCATCTACAAGTTACCTATGGGCGCAAGCAAACGAAAAAACCGTCCATTGTTGTTGATTACAATAATCATAAAGCTTTTATTGACATATTTGATCAGATGAAAGCTTATGCTACTTCTTTAAGATGAAGCGTGAAGTGGTATAGGAAATTAGTTGTCGAATTTCTTATTGCAACATCATTAGTCAATGCTTTTCTGCTACATCAGCAGGTTACGAATGACGAGAAGACCACTACTAGATTTAAGGAACTTGTCACGTTGGAATTACTTCAAATACAAAATAAGGAGCATTATCGTCGTAATGAACCTCCATTGCCGCAGCATATGTTAGAAGATGTTAGACGGAAGACGCAGATGTGTTGAATGCTATAAAAAGCTGAGTGAAGCTAGTGGTATAACAGAAGCCCAAAAAAATACAAATTCGCCGTTCACAAAATTGAGCAAACTGAGCAAAAACGCAGCAACAGAATAACTTGGAGAGAGGAAAGTAACGAACACTAACATATCAAAAAATAAAAAAATCAAAATTCCGTCAAAGAAAGAACTGGAATACAAAGTAAACGTTTAGCTTGCATGCATGGAACAGGAATGCAAGCACAGCCCAACAAAATGAAAAAAATTGGTGCTTGAGAAATAAACGAATTTTAAATATTTTTGAGGCTCTGATTTCAAAAGAGACTTCTTTTTCATAGTAGTTTTTTTTTAATCGATTTGATAATTTAAATTTCGCTCGAAAAGATATACACAAAGACACCTGGAAATCACTTACACTAAATGATAGATCATTCTATTGTAGACTAAAGACACCAATCTAATATAATAAACATTCGCACCAGAAAAGGAGCAAATGCAGGTTCTGATTAGCACTGAATCGATATAAGGTAGTTTAAAAAAGGAAATAGATTCTAAACCTGAACCATACAATGTAGAAGACCTTAAAAAAAAAAACAAAAATAGAGAATATAAAAAAATATAAACGTCAAACTAGAAAACAGACTTAAACATGAAAACATAAATGAAGAGTGGAAAAGGTGCAGAAAAATCATAAAAGAAGCAGCTGAAGAATTACTAGGCATAAAAGGTAAACAAACAAGAACAAGAACGAATGACTGTTTTGACGAAGAATATCAGATTATAATAAAGAGAAAAAACAAAGCATATTTAATGATGCAACATGGGTACAGAACCTGACAAGCAGAGGAGGAATATAAATAACTACGCAAGGAAGAAAAGAAAATCCACCGCAAAAAGAAGAGAGAAACTATGAACAAAGAACTTCAAGAACTACAAGATCTAAGTAAGCCAAAAGAGACGAGAAAATTTTACCAAAAACTGAACAAAAGCAAAAAGGAATTCAATTAAAAGAAGTAAAGACATAAGGAGGGTAATATATTGACAGAACAGCAAGAAAAAATAGAAGATAAAATTCTTGAATGAGACCGAAAATGTTATAGAGATTATATTGATATATTAGATGTTCGTTTGTAATACTCCATTTAACGTTTTTTATAAAAATATTGTTTTTAATTGAAGCGTTTATTTGAAAAACAAAAAAACAAGTCCAGTTTTTGCAAATATGACTTTATATGTTGTTCGCATAGAATAGTACTTTTTTTATCGATCGCACACATTCAGTTGTGTAAAAATTTCAGATGTCCGGAGTAAACTACATAGAAAATTCGGATAGTTTTAGAAAAATAACAGATATCCATTCAGTTGTTGTAAAAGCAACACTTATTCCACCTTACTAAACGATCGTCGCTAAGCGTGACATCTTGTCTATAAATGGCTCCAAAAGATGCCCGGGGAAAGCATACAAATATGCCTAAGAAGACACAACCTGCTGATATAGAAAACATAATAGCCCACATTTCTTCATTTAAAGTCATTCAAAAAGAAAATTTATCTACCATCAGAGTTAAATGTACAAAAATATGTGCAGAGATTTTAAAGAACTTCACTCACAGTCTAAGGTTTCTTACTTTGTTTATTACAACATATTTCAAACTCAAGTTAACATATCGTTTTTTCCCCAGATGTGACACTTGTACATTATGTGATGAAACTGAAATCCAACTCTAACTACCGAATATCGATGAATCAACAAAAAAGGAACTGCTTCAAAAGAGAAACCTTCATCACGCTAAAGCAAAGGCATTTTATGATATAAAACGAAAAATTAAACATAAATATCAGCAGAGTAATAATGTATCTGCAATAGCCTTTGACTCTATGCAAAATCTTCCGCTACTCAATGTAACTGCAAATAAAGTTTTGTCCAATGATATCCATATGTATAACTATCATGAAGGAATGGCTAAACATGGTCAAAATTAAGTAACTTCCATGATATTTCATTATATAAAAGATCATAAATATATTCGGTAAAATAGATGAAATATGGTTTTTATCTGATGGTTGCCATGGTCAGAATGAAAACTACATATTTATCTGCTTTTCATATATCCTGGTACATGAAATTAGCATCAGAGATAACACACGTATACCCAATACGAGGACATTCATACCTACCTTGCGATAGCGACTTTAGTCTCATTTCTCGTGCAAAAAAAGTAGTTGCTGATGTTTCAGAAGAATGGGATGATCTTATTCGACAGTCAAGGTCTCCATTTAAAATGGTTAATGCTGGGAAAGAAACTGAGTGGTTCCTATAGATGCAAGTTTAAAGGATTTATTTTCAAAGAATCCAAACCAGAAATTTCATTAAAACCAGCAAGAATGTACCGAACATCTGAGAAGTATCCTCGATAAGTTTTATTACGTCAAAGTTATCACGGCCACGTTCGTACGTTCCATGCCATGGCGAACACCAACACAAATAACTCTGATACCAAATACAGCGAAAAATAAAATAAGTAAACCAAAGTTTCGCGATCTTATGGAGTTAACTAAATATCTAAAAAATCCTCTTAATAAAGAATTTTATCTTATTCTAGAACCAGAATCCGGGGAAACCAAGGACCATACTCCTCGTGTATGTAGTGATGACGAATAGACATCATAGAATTTTTTGTTATTTCTACGAAGATATTGTATATATGATCATTTTCCAATATATTTTGCTAAGTTTCTAACGATTTTTGTCTAAAATATCAATAAAAAGATGAAATCAAATCGTACAATTATTTTGATATCTACATTCCTTCCAATGAATATCTTAGTCAAAGAAAGATTTGAAATAAATTGAAACTGGGCAAAAATTTTAATTTTTGGACAAGTGTTGTTTTTCAAATAAACGCTTAAAAAATAAATTCTCCGCTACTGATACGATTCTTGGTAAAACTCATAAGGACAGCTAAATTATACGATAACTTACATATAACGCGAATGAGTCATTTCATTATTTGTTTGCTGGAGTATAGCATAGGATGGTCACGGCTTAAAACTATCAAACTAAAAAAGCTAATGTAACCATTTTAGTACCTTTAATATGGGTTTCAATTGCATTTTTGAAGAAAGAAAAAATGTATATTCGAGCAGAAATGGGTTAAATAATTAAGTAAAAGGTAACAATGATATTTGTTCCCAGAATAGCGCTCATGGAAGAACATTTATATCTTCTGCATAGAAGTTTTGCAAGAAAGGCAGTAGAACGAGCTGTTTATGTATGTTACATAAAATTCAAAATATGTTTAAAAATACTCGATTTTTGGATGCCTTCACTGCGAAAAGTCTTAGAAACAAGAATGTGCTAATTTGGAACTAAATAATCTCTTTTTGAGATAGTAGTAGATAATGAAGATTCCGCGAAGCTTGTATTTTGAGTACTTATAAATTTATTTCTGAGATCTTTTATATTTTTTATTACTATGAAATTTAAAGAAAATATATTGCATAAGTTAAAAAATAGTTAAAACTTACCGACATATTGCTAATATTCTATGTAATATTACAAAAATAATGTAAGAACGTATTTATATTCTTGTGAGAAGTGATACCTTAGCAAATCATTGTTTCTTAACTAAAATGTAACACCCTAATAAGACATTATTCGTGAGTTTTTTGAGTCACTTTAAAACAATTCCGTGTTGGATTTTTTACACAATACTGTCATTGTCATATACACAATACCACAATACATAGCAATACATATTCAAACCTTCCCACGCCAACATCTCGAAACGTATCAGCGATCAACCACTAAATGCCTACAGTGTTTTATTATTATTTTATCAGCAGTTATTAAATACATACACCGAACTCAACATAAGACCGTTTCGGATAAGGGACTCAATAACAATCGACAAATTGATAAAATTCCAACAGCATTCCTTACCTCTGTCGCCAACGCTTGATTGGCACCTTTGGACAGCAAGTACCGAACACAGCCATCGTGGTTTTCTTGTGCCGCCATGTAAAGTGGGGTGAAACCATTTTGGGATTGAACATTTAGAGAAGCACCATGTTGGACTAGGAGCCGAACAATTTCTTCTTGACCGGCTGCAATTTAAAAATATAAAATTTAATACAAATATGTATTCAGAAAGAAACTTGTGACTTGTGAGCGAGAGAAAATAAACCAACAAAACACTCAACAGTATTTCTAATTGTTCCAGTGCGTCGTTAATTTATTACAATAGGTATTAAAAACATATTTATATATCTCTTTCAATAATTTATAAAAAATGGGTTCACATTAATAACCTTAGTATATTCTATTAAACATTCATACAGGGTGTATCACACATGGTATATATAAAAACATTCTTGTTTAAACAAAGTTCGGGACGAGTTTTATAGGAGATTGTGTTATTGCCAACAATAAGGTGAAGAACATTTTGAGCATTTATTCTAATGTAATCCAATCAATTATCTCGGCTTTCTATGAATTAATTGTCTTGATGAAAATTATACTTCATTTCAAAACTATACTTCAGAAGAAATCCGACGACTACGAAAAAAAAATCAAATAGTGATAAAACCTAGTAGGTACTAAAACAAACGAATGGCCAATTACAAACAAAAGCATATTTCTACAAGGTAAATACATTCTCGAAAAGACTGACGACTACTTCCCAGTAGAAAGGAATATTAATTTTGAGAAAAGCAAATACTCGCTCAGATTTATGTCTTTGTGTTCATCTCTTCGTTGTGGCATAATTCAGGAGTCGAGAATATTTACGGAGTCCTACGCTGACCTAAATTAAGTGTATAAAGATTAATCCCGTAAATTGGTAAAGGTAGCGCTTGGTTAAAGTTAAATATAATCTTTTTTTATTAGTACAGTAAAAACTAAAGGAATTTTTACCAAATTCGTTAACTAAGATTTACTCGTATTCCTAAAAGTTTACATTAAAAAGTGTGAAGGCTCGTCATTTATGACTAAAAATTTGTGCACAATATGACTAATTTAGAGGTAATTGATGCTCATCAGTTAGTGGTAGTGAATAAATAAAAACTCAAAAACAGAACAACTAGTTATAAAGGTTTTTCACTGATAATGTATTGTTTCTATTTTGTGCTGTGTCGGAAGACGTGAATGGCCTGTTTAAACAGGCCATTCACGTTCCAGGTACAATTTCCAACACTCCGGATTGACTACAGAAGATTTATCAACAAACAACGAAAATTAAATCATAGTTATACTGAAATTATAAATAACTGTTCCTTGTTCCTTTATACTGTTCTGAAGTTATTTTCTTGTAGCATCTTTTCTTTAAGCCCTTTTCTCTATTTGGATCGTCGAATATAGGCCTCTTCTAATTCACGCCATTCATCTCTGTTATGTGTAAGACGTTTCCACATTGGCCCTGCAGTTATTTTAATATCGTCACTCCATCGCATTTGCGGTCTTCCTCGTGGTCTTTTGGCTTCATATGGCCGCCAATTCCCGATTTCTTTATTCCATCGCCCATCCGTAAGACGTTAGTTATGTCCAGCCCATTTCCATTTTAGTTTAGCTGTCTGTTCGACAGCATCTTTTACTTTTGTTCTATTAAAAATGTCTTCATTGGTTTTATGGTCTTTAGAGTGAGATACCCAGCATCTGTGGTTCCATAGTTCTCTGAGTTTTTCTGATCTTCTCCATGTTTATTTTAGTGAATGTCCAGGTTTGAGCTCCATATGTAAGCACAGGTAGGATACAGGAATTAAACACATTGGTTCGCAGTCCTTGAGGTATATTTTTATTATTAAGTACGTATGAGAGTCTTCCGAATGCTGCCCATACCATTTTTACACGCCATAAGGTTGTCATCTTTGTTTGACATTAGTTTAGTTTAGCATCAATGTGCAAACATACGAGCTGGACATAACACGACGGAAGCAGTGGAAATACGGCGTGGAGTGAGGCAAGGATGTATTCTATCGCCTCTACTTTTTAATATCTACTTCGAATTTACTTTCAAAAAAGCCTTAGTTTAAAAAAAATACATGCATTAAAATCAACGGAATTAATGTCAACAATCTCAGATATGCAGACGGCACGATAAGTTGGGTTGATCGAATAAGAAATGAAATAGTTTTATATCGAATGAAAAAGAGCACATAAATAACAAAAACGATAAATATTCAAAGGTTACAATATTTCGGTCATGTAATGAGACATCCAGAGAGGTATAACCTTCTACACCTCATAATAGAGAGTGAGATCGCCGGAAGGAGAGGCCCAGGTCGACGAAGAACATCCTGGCTCCAAAATCTCAGAGAATGGTATCAAGAAGCCACCGCTAATTTATTTAGAGCCGCCGTAAATAAAGTTATTATTGTCAAATATGATCGCCAACGTTCGATAATCGGACACGGTACTGAAAGAAGAAGAGTTTAGTTTTGCTGAAATTCATTTTCAGTTCCTTTTTTAGGGATTCTGTGCATAGCTCCTCAATCATCGTATTCAGTGCATTCCACGTGTCGGCTATTAGTTATATATCATCTGCGTATATAAGATGGTTCAAGTATCTTCCGTTAATAGGGATTCTCTTAGTTTCCCAGTCTATTGACTTAAAGATATCTTCTAGGGCAGCTGTAAATAATTTTGGAGATATTGTGTCTCCTTGTCTTACTCCTCGGTTGATTTTTACTGGTCTTGTTTCGATTACATTACCCAATGTCACTATCATTTCAGCTTGTTTGTAAATATTATGGATTAGTATTTTGTACCTGGAGTCGATCCGGTTGTTGACTAATGCTTCTTCTATTGCCCACAGTTCTACGCCATCAAAAGCTTTTTCATAATCTATAAAAGCCAGACATAATGGGAGATTACGAAAGCAAACGACCAAGAGGAATACCACAGATGAGATGGGTTGATGACATTAAAAGAATAGCCGGAACAAATTGGAAATATGTTGCTTAGGATAGAGACCGATGGAAAGTGTTGAGAGAGGCCTATGTCCAAACATAGACGACAGCAGGCTAAGAAGAAGAAGAAGAATGGGAGATTGTATTCGTTAGTCTTTTCTATTAGGATTTTTAAAGTGTATAGATGTGGTCACAGGTGCTGTACTCTTTTCTAAATCGGGCTTGTTCTACTATTTTATATCCGTTAAATTTACTTATTAACCTGTTTGTAATAATCTTTGAAAAGGTTTTGTATGGTTGTGAAAGAAGTGAAATTGGTCGATAATTTTTCAAGTCTGTGGTGTCTCCATTTTTGTGTATTAGTATTGTTTTAGCAGTATTCCATTGTTCGGGTATGTTGCCTTGGAATAGACATTTATTAAATAATATTTCTATATATGTGATGGCTTCTTCTTTGCCTTCCTTCAGCATTTCTGCTAGAATTTTATTGCTTCCAGGAGTTTTTTCCTTTTTATTTTTTTTTTACTGCTTCTTCTTCTTAACGAGCCCTATCAAGTCCCCTTGACATTGGCGATTAACATGGCGAAACTGTCTCTGTCTCGAGCTATTCTAAATAGTTGCTTAGCTTTCTTTATTCCTGTCCACTCCCTGATATTCTTCAACCAAGAGGCCTGTTTTCTACCAATTCCTCTGCGTCCTTCGATTTTACCCATCATAATAAGTTGAAGTTTTTTACTGCATCTTCGCAAATTTACTATTCTAATTGAAAATAAGCTTGAATATTAGTTAGAAATATAGGAATTAAATTTATTTGATGTGTCGACTTCAACTACGAAATATTTTGATACCGATTTCCGAAGTGGAAGTCCAAACGTCACATACATTTAATTTCTAACTCATATTGTGGCTTATTCCCAATTAAAATAGTAAATTAACTACAAGATCACTTTGTAACTGATACTTCCTCCCTGTACACAATTTGCTTACAGCATCAGCTCCAAACAAAATCTCAATTGGTGCGGTCTGTCCGACATCGCTGAACAAAGATCTCTAGTTCGCAAATAAATAATAGAAAATAACTTTCAGTTGCACGAAAAATTTTTATAGCCCTGCAAGTTTCTGGTATCACTTTTCCCAATAGTTCTGTATATATTTTACAGCTCAACTTCAGATCCTCAAATGACCTTCCAGTGGCCAGAAAGCGTAAAGTTGCTACAAGGCGTTGTTCAGTACTGACATATTCACGCATGACGCTATCTTTTTTGGAAATGAGGAGACCAACTTTTTCCAGCAACAGCGAAAAAGTGAAGTTGTTAAGTCTGAGGTAGTTTTTGTAATTATTCTTATCAATGACATTGAGCAATTTCGTGTCACAATAGTTCACACGATCAACAAATCATTTCTTCATCCAACATTTTTTCTTTTTTTTTTTAATGATAAGGATAACAAGCACAATGCTGATATTTTCTTCCTCCTAATTATATTTTGGGTAGTGTTTTCTCGATAAATTTTTTTGGTTAAGCAATGTACACCGTCGTGAAAACAAACTAGAACTGAAGTTGGACCGTTAGTTGGATAGCAAATCGGAGCGTGAGTGGAGACGAATATCCAACTAGTAGTCCTACTAAAGCTGGGCATTCACATTCCGACTTGCGGTCGGAAGAAATTTATAGAAATCTCATACGTAACAGGTGCCGAAGATCAACTGACTGAGGAAATTTTCGATCCGACCTGTGATCCGACTTCCAACTTCACCATTCACGCTCCCACTTGGTCGCCAGACGGAAGTCAGACCTTCGAGTCGTCCCTCTAGATGTTCCGACTCCTACCACTAGTTGTCCAACTAATCCAACAAGACCACTCACGGTCCGATCTCAGATCCAACTGCGGAAGTTGGAGCACTAGTCAGACTAAAAATCGAAACGCGAATGGCCTGTTTAAGACTCATTTTATTATTTCTTTGTTGGAGTATAGTTAAATATTTTCTCGTGTATATTATATGTGAATATTCTTAATTCTATCGATGTTGTTTTTCTTATTTCCTTATTTTTTTATTCTGTCCATCCTTGATACTCATCTTAGATAGCATTCTATCTCTGTTGCAGTTCTTGCTGCTATGTCTTCAACTCTATGGAATTAAGCATAAGAAATCAATAAAATCTAATGCCACTAATAACTTTATGAATATTAATACTGACTAA